TCTCCATGTACTCACATATAGCCATATACTGATGTGAAAACTGTGTTTCTTACTCAATGAAACAAGGTTGTTTCTAACTGAAAAAAAAATAAAAATGTTTGGTTTACAACTCTCAGGATCTAAAGCAACGCCTGGGCCACAGACTTCAGCTCACGGACTTGCTAATAAAACCTGTGCAGAGAATTATGAAATACCAGCTGTTACTAAAGGTAAAGTGATGTTGAGATGAATGAGATGTGTTAACAGATACTTTTTTAATTATTGTGGATGCTTTTCCACCTTTCTCCCAAACAGAACCCAGATTTGTAAGCAATGCCATATGATTATATTCTGAGTATATTGAGATTGTTATAAAAACTGCAATAAAGAGCTTGGGCAGAAATTTGCTTTTTCTTTTAACAGTTAAAGGCCAAATGTTTAGACCGTGGAAATGTTTAGGATTCATACTAATGTCGTATGAACGGGAGAGGGAACTCTCAGCTGTTTTCAGATGTTTTCATCCCAACTTCTCCATCTACACCTGCAACCATTTTAATATCACATAAGTGTTTACTGAAGAGCAAACTTGTGTAACACACAGGTCATTGCCTTAATACATGTTCTTGTACAAGCTAAATCAAAATGGTGAATAACTCTTAAAAACAAAATCTTTAAAAACAAAATTTTTCTAAGTGTCTTCTGCAGTCTGTCGGATTCTGACAGAGGATAGCAAATTCAGATTTTTCTAAGATTTCTCTTTGCTGATTAATGAGAAAAGAAATATTACTTGATTTTTTCTCTTTTTCAGGACTTCCTCAAATATTCTAAAAAAGCTAATCTTGACACAACAGAACTAGAGGTACTTGAGACATTTTCTCTTAGTGATACGAATTCTCTTAACTCTCAACTTCTCTTGTTTTGACAGAGTCACTTTCCTTTTCTGATCTTCTTGAGAATGTGATTATAAGTGTTTACTTCTTGCATTTCTGCTCTAAAGCAACCATATTAAATGAAACAAAATTTTAATGCAGCTAACTCATTTGGAAAATAAAGCTTTGACTTTTTATTTGTCTTGAACAGAAAGCTGTAGAGGTCATGTGTATAGTACCAAAACGGTGTAATGACATGATGAATGTTGGCCGCCTGCAAGGATTTGATGTAAGTTGGCTGGAGTTTTGCTTAGAGCTTTTATCAGATTCTGTAGAAATTAGCCATTAATGTTGTGGGGAGAAATGAGGTAGAGTTCTTCCTCACTGGTACAGAAAGCAGTGAATGAAGAGTCAAGTTTTAGTCCTTCCAAGGACTTTTTCCTGGGAAGCTTGATCTGCTGTGTCAGTAACGCTAGGGAGGTCCTTTTGCAAAATCTAGGAAGCACTGGTGTTATTACAGTTCTCTTGTTGACTAAAGGCTTGCAAAATAGCAAAATAAAAGTTACCAGCGAGGGAGTGGACCTGACTTCAGTAGTGTAGACAAACGAGGAGTCGTTAAGGTCTGTAATGTACCTGAGACAACTGTAGCCCTTGTCCTTGTTTTGTTAAGTCTAGAAGAAATGGAAATTGGCTATTGAAGCAGTATGCATCAGCCAGACCACAGTCACATGTTCTACTTGCAAAGCACTTTATATTCCGTGATGCAGGTATGAACTTGAATTCCTTGCCTATCCAGCACCCTGGAAGCCACTGGAAGAATATATGAGCAACTGCTGGAGTTACTTAGAATAGAGAACTGAAAGCCTTAGTGTTAGGTGCCCCAAAGTGCAGTATGAATTGAAAAGGGTGGAGTGGATTTTTTGTGGGGTTTTTTCCTTGATGGTGTTTGATTTTTTGAGAAAGGGCACAAGAATGTCTGGTGTGTAGGAGGAGTAATGAATATATAATGGTCAGTGACACTTGGAAATTGGGAAATACGCAAAGCTATTTGGCATGAGCATCTGCTCAAAAAGGTTGATTGAGGAAAGAAATGAAGAACTGCACTAAATGTGTTTCTGCTTGCTTCTGTGTTTAGGGTAAAATTGTAGCCCAGGGTAAGCTCCTGCTCCAGGACACATTCTTGGTTACAGACCAGGATGCGGGACTTCTGCCACGTTGCAAGGAGAGACGGGTCTTCCTGTTTGAGCAGATTGTCATTTTCAGTGAGCTGCTAGATAAAAAGAAAGGTTTCTCCATGCCCGGATTCTTGTTTAAAAACAGTATCAAGGTAACTGTTGTGTGTGAGTCTTTGTGTCCCCTGCACAAACTCTGCTAAGGTAACAGTTTCTCATTCTGTGGGGAGTCACTAGAGACATCTAGATGTGCAGTCATAGAGAGCACAGTGAGACATCAGTCATTTCCTGAAACTGCCTCCTACCAAATTTGTTCTCTCTGATGATAAATAGAAATCTTTGGATCCCAGTACTCTGATGCTTCCCACGTGAAGCATATCAAAAAAGGTGCTCTTGCAGAAACCTGGATGAGCATTCACAAAGAGCTTATTTTCAGCTCTGTGCTGTGTGTACACCACACTGCAGACAGAGATAATAAGTCTTTATGTATCCTTTCTGATATCCAAATGTGTAGATAACATTTGTAAGTAGTGTGACCTTCTTAAATACGTCAGCTCTTTCTCAAACAAAAAGTGTTTTGCCCCACTGCAAGCTTTCCCTGAAACAAAAACTGATGATACTGGGGCCCACCAGTCCTACTCATGAAGTGTTTTGGGTGGACCCACCTTCCTCTAATTCACCACGGTGCTGTGCCTGGCAGCTGAGCCTCCTCTTAATAGCACTAGCTGGACGACCTGGTCCGAGGCATTGCTGGATCTGCAGCCTTTGGTGTGGGCCAGTGCCAGCTCCATAGCAGGCTCAGCATTTTAACTGCCATGAAAGGAAGTGAGGGATGATGGAGAACATTGGGCCATGTTGACCAGCTGGAGATTGCTCAGGCACAGTGTGTCAGTAAGATGTACACTAATCCTTAGTGTACTATAATCCTTCATTTCATAGTATTATTTTACTGAAGAAAAGAATGGTTATCATTTGAAGACCTGACTCTGAGCTCCCAAGCAAGAGATTCTAGAGGTGTATTTCTCATAAAATACATAAAGAAATTATCTTTTTTTCATGAAGGTGAGTTGCCTTTCCCTGGAGGAAAATGTGGACAGCGATCCATGTAAATTTGCACTAACATCAAGAACGGGCGATGTCACGGAGACCTTTATTTTGCATTCTGCCAGTCCAGGAGTCCGCCAGTTATGGATCCATGAAATTAACCAAATTTTGGAAAACCAGCGCAACTTTTTAAATGGTAAATTATATTTTTTCACTGAAAGTTCATAATTGAATGACTTTTCTCTCATCTGTTGTTTCTTGGCTTTGAAATGTTTTGCGAGTTTCCTTTTTCCCGAGCTAATACAGAACAGTCGGGGGATATGTGCTGCATTTCTGCTGCAGAACAGATGCTTGCATTTATTATAAGAGTGGTAGTCTGAATTAACATGGTGTTCTCTTGGTGAAATTTTCCAAATGTTTTGTGGGAGTGAGTCAAGATTGGCACCATCCGTTGAGGTGGAGAGCTTGTGTACTCCTTTTAAGCAAATTCAAGCATTTAAAGGCTAAACCCAAGCAGAATTTCAAGCATCTATTCAGAATATGTTTTGCTTATGTTATTTTGATGGCCATTGTTGTCACATCTTACTGTGGCAACAGTAGTCAGATTCTGTAGGAGAAAAGTAGAAGGGTGGTAGTGTCTGCTCTGACACTAGAAGGTGCTTGCTGTATTTTTATATTTATCATGTGTTGCCCCAATGTAGACTTCTTTAAAAGAGGTATAATGAATAGAACAACGAGCTGAGAATTTGGAGTCGCACTTGTTTTTTCCCAGCTTGGCTGCTGACTGACCATGTCATCCTAGAGGAAAACATTCCTTTTTAGTTTCAGATTTTTTTTTATCCTTAGTAGAGGTATATCTAGCAGGTCATGCAGGTGGGATATAGAAAAGTGACTTGAGGTCTACGGCATGACCAGCATTGCTAAGGAAATACATTTGCACAGCACTCCCCTTTTTGCCAGTAAACATGTCTGTTTTAAATTGTTCCTGTTCCCCTTTCCTGCCCTCTTTCCCCGATCACCTCCCCTCCCGCCCCCATTGCAGCCTTGACGTCCCCAATCGAGTACCAGAGGAACCACAGCAGTGGTGGAGGTGGCAGCGGGAGCAGCAGTGCTAACAGCAGTGGCCCCAGCAGCTGTAGTGGCATCCCCAGCTCCAGCCGTAGCCGGCCATCCCGGATCCCCCAGCCTGTCAGACACCATTCCCCAGTCCTGGTCTCCTCTGCAGCCTCGGCCCAAGCAGAGGCAGACAAGATGTCAGGTATGTCCATTCACAATCTCTCCCTGCCACACTACAACACCTCCTTAGAAACTGGCCTAAGCCAGCCAGACAGGCACCCTCCCAATGCTGAGCCAGACGGTCCTCAGAGAGAAGCTGAGCAGATTCCCAAGATGAAAGTTATTGAAAGTCCCAGGAAGACAGCGGGAAACATTTCTGGCTCATCTGATGGAGCCCAGAAAGACTCACGTGGAAGCTCAGAGGACAGTCGAACAAGAAACAGCATAGGATCACTGACGCTCGGGAAGCCAAGGCCAGGAGCCATCTCACCAATGAACTCTCCTCTCTCCACGACTTTCCCTGCTCCTTTTGGCAAGGAAACCTTTCCACCCAGCAGCCCCCTGCAGAAGGGCTCCTTTTGGAGCTCCATCCCAGCATCCCCTGCCAGCCGCCCTGGCTCCTTCACTTTCCCTGGGGACAATGACTCCCTCCAGCGGCAGGGCCACCGCCCCCCTCAGCAAGGACACAGACCGCATGAGCACATGCTCCTCGACCAGCGAGCAGTCAGTTCACTCCACCCAGAGTAATGGGGTAAGAGCGGAGCACCTCTGTCCTGCGAGCTCTTCTAAAATCTTCCCATGCTCCCTTTCTGTGCGTTGCCATCATTCTCTGTACTAACTTCTGGCTCTCCGGTGCTGTACTGCTCTGAAATAATCAACTGTTCAAGTGTCTTCTGCACATTAAAAAACCAAGAGTGTCTACTTCTTTGTGTATGTATACGTACAAACATGGCTATGTATACAGACACAAAAGCAACTGCTAACATTAGATGCAATTTCTGCCTCTGCTGAAAACATAGATCACTAGGCTGATACCTACTAACTTGCTCTCCTTGCTTCTTTCGTCTCTAATTTGAAGGCATATAATTAACATGCTGAAGCGTGGCAGCCAGAGCACCTTTGGGTATGCATTGCACCAGCACTTAAATCTGACTTCAAGATTTTGGCAGATTGCCTTGGGGCTTTTTTCCCTTTCACGCACAAATTCGCCACCAATGTCCTGTTGAGTTTTAACTTCGTGGAGACATCTACGTTCCCTGGGCTGCTTCATTTATTTTTTTTTATTTATTTCCCTCCCCTCTCAGCCTTAGTTGTTGTACAGCATTCTCTTTTATATCCTGTGTCTGATCAAAGAAGCTTCCTGCAATCCACACAAAATAGGCCAACAAAACCTAGCTAAGATAATCCTCCTTCTACTACAACCAAAACAAATACCTGCTCCACTTGTCTTTTCTCATTTGTAAGAAGAACTGGTTTGGGGTATCTGGAGATTCAACTTCTTAGTACGTACTTGGCGTCTTTGTGCGGAAATCTGGGGTATCAACAAAATCCACGTTCTCTGTAATAACATCCACCAGGAAATGCAACACGGCAATCAGAGGGGCATGTGCAAATATAAGGCAAATACAAAGCAAAAATGTCAAGGCACTTGCCATGGATGTGGTAGGCAGGCTATGGTGCCATTCTTTTTAAACTTGCATTTGATTTTTCTCTCACTAAGCATTGTGTTCACAAATGTTTGTTTTTCCACTCTCTCACCAATCGTATGCAGTACCAATTTTGCAAATCACCTAACTTGCTGGACCTTTATTTAAATGCATGAGTTTCTTTATAGAACTGTTTAACACACAAAGCTTTCTTAATTTCTTAGTTCTTACACTTACTTTTATAATAGCTTCAGAAGAAAAAATTATGCTTTGCATGTTTTGTACTTTTATCCCGATCTTCCTTCAGCTTTTTATTTGCTGTTTATCTTCAGTCTAGCAAAATGTGATGTAATGTACTGTAATATCTGGGGTAATTAGAGTATTTCACAATGACTGCATAGTGTGTGAATCAAGGGGTATTTTTTATATGCAGGGGAAATTTGCATAATATTAATTCGGGTTGTTCCATTACAAAAAGAGAGAGGGAAAGATGGGCTGGCACTGAGTTTTCAAAACATTTGGATTTTGATACTATCTCATCAAAGACACCACTGTTTGCTTTTGTCTCACTGTAAAAAGTAATACTGGAATGCATGCCTTCTGCTTCACAACTGTGTGTCTTTTGGTTTGGTAACTGAGATGGGCCATAATTCCTCATTTATAGCCTCATTTCTAGACCAATCAGCAGGATTTCACACCACACTGAACAGGCTAAAGGAAATGGGCTGTGAAGGTTTATTTTGATTTAGCAACTTGTGTGTGTATATAGACATGCACATATGGGTATGGTCAATTACTTATGGAAAAGTTACTTCTAAGAAGAAGAATAAGTAATTGGTTTTTCTATATAATATATATGTATGCAAAATATATATTTGCCATATAATAATCCTGGTATTCCAGGAATATGGGAGGATTTTTCTACGTTTTGTTTGTAGAGCCTCTAATCCTGTAACTGAGGTCAGTGATGACCAGCAGAACTTGGCAGTAGAAAAACATTAACTGTGCAAGAATAATTACTTCCTTGCAAGGCAAAAGAAAAGAGTATCGTTCTCTGGTGAGAATGGATTCTGATATAAACACATTCTCAAGAACATTTGTCACTTAGTAGCTACTAGACACTTGTTTATTTAACAGCTTTATCTGTCCTTGCTGAAAATAAGAAATATTCAGAATTTAATATGATCCTTCAAGACTTAAGTGTTAAAAATAAATGTCAGCTCTGCAGTTACACAAATTCTGCTGCCTGCGAAGAAACAGTATGTGCAGAAATAGTGTGTGGGGCAAGGTTTGGGGCTTAGGTTGTTGTGCAACTTCCCTCCATATCCCTCTATAAGCAGATTTTTCTGAATAAAGTTGTTTTTCATCTAGCTAAAATAAAGTAACAAGTTGTAATCTTAATTTAAATAATGACTGAAAATGAGATTTAATTAGTTTTTTGGCAAACTGCTATTCCCTAGACAAATGAGTTGTCTCACTGGAAAAGCGGAATCTGAATTTAATGTACATATCCTTTAGTAGAGGTACAATCCAGGATGAGATCTTTGTCTCTGAGGTAGCATTTGCTTCATCATCCTAATAAGGCAAAAAAAAAGGACTTGAATCACTCAATTGAATATAACAGTCCAGCTAGAGTAAAATGTAGTGTCACTGGAAACCAAGCATCAGTGTTCTGAACATGCTATGAATGAGTAATCTGAGACTGTCCCTTTCCAAATGTCTTGGTTTCTCAGCCAGAGTATTCATAAGGAAGCACAGGCATAGAGGGATGGAATGACTTGTTCAAGGCCATTAGCAGATTGGAAGAGAATGTGGTTTTAAGGGTTCCTGGTGCATCATGCTATCTATCCACTGACCCCTGCTGCATCTCCTCAACACTGAGGGAATAAATACTTGACAGTTTTGAGAAAAAAGATGACACTATTAATCCTGTGTGCCAGGTTTCCGCTTGCTGCTAGCACATACATGGTGCTAACATGTGGTTATGCTATATAAGCAATTGGAGACTCCAGCTGCACCTGGGTACTAATTTCCTTCTTCAGCTCTGCTACTACTGAGCAATAGTGAGCCCTCATTGGTGATGAGTGACCTGAAACAGTTTAAAGTAAGGACAGAGACCAAAGAAAGGCACACACTCATATATGCCTCATGCCACATCATTAATAATAATTATAATTAATAGGCCATCCACTTTGGTTTTAACTTGTTTCAAGAAGTAAATAACTTATATGAGGGAGTAGGTTGCATAGTCTGCTAATAGATTTCACAGTTCCATTTATCACAGGCAGAATGCATGCAAATGGACAAAATAAGTCTTACTCTAAGAAAGATAATAGTTTTCAGTGGATTCCTGGTCAGGAGAAGGCTTTTTTGCTCTAAAAGTACTATAAGTTTTAATGTACAACTGATCAGCCATAATTAATTTTCCACAAATGCTCAGTGAGGAAATAAATGAAATCATGAACAGTAGTTGAAAGTGTACCATAAACAGCTAGCAACACTCAGCTATCATAGTCACTAATTAGTTTGAAGTGAGGTTTGCATCTTTATTCTGATAGTTTAGTGGGCCTGTTTTCACCAAGAAATGAGTCATTTCTTATTTCAGTGATTTACCTCATCCTGTGCATTTAAAGGAACAAACCTGATCATACAGGTTGAACCAGGAATAAGCCTTGTGTTTTTGAGACAGTCTGTCAAAAGCCTGTTTTATTCTTTTGTACCTTGGCATGTTTTGTGTCCAGACGGCTGGTGTCTGAGATCTGACGAGTAATGCTAGGGAAAACTATATGTATTTTTCATTGTTGGAATTTCCAGTATTTATAAGGTAACTATTATGGTTTTGAAACTGTGCTTAGAAGACCATGAAAAACTGTCTTACATGTTCGTACTGTAGTTTTGTTGCCTGATGAAGATGCAAGGTTCAGTGTCTGAACTTGAAAAAAAGATGAGTTGAGATGTATGTATAAACTCACTCTTAGTTAAAGGAGACAGTCTTGAGTAAAAGTAAAGGGAATAAATTTGTGCAGCAGTGGTACCTGAAGATATTCAAAAATCAAACTAATTTGCACAAGATAAATAAGCATGGGCCATCTTTAAAAGAGAAATTGTGGCTCTTTGCCTACAGTTTAAGCTATGTGGATTATGCAGGTAATGTAGCAGGCCAAGAACAACCTGTCTTCTTAATGAACTTTTAACTTGATTCTCTCTTTTTTCTCCCCTTCTCTCTGCTTCTGATTGACGCTTGCAGAGTGAAAGTAGCAGCAGTAGCAATATCTCCACCATGCTGGTGACACACGATTACACGGCAGTGAAGGAGGATGAGATAAATGTCTACCAAGGAGAGGTCGTGCAGATTCTAGCCAGCAACCAACAGAACATGTTTTTGGTGTTCAGAGCCGCCACTGATCAGTGCCCCGCAGCTGAGGGCTGGATTCCCGGCTATGTCTTGGGGCATACCAGTGCAGTCATCATTGACAACCCTGATGGAACCATCAAGTGAGTGCCTGTGTGTGTCTGGAGGGGGAGGAGGAAGAAAGACTTCCAATTTAGGCAAGGCTTGGAACCCTTTAACCCAGGAGTTGATGTGATCATTGAGAAATGAGCGAACAACAAGCAGAGTGAGTGCTCGAGAGGTCCCTTAGCCAACTTCAAAATAGAAGGTAGTAAGAAAGATCCCAGAAGCACGTTTTCTTTACTTAGAAAGCTGTAATAGCCCAGTCTTCTGGGAAAAGAATGCCTGATGTAAGAGCAGCAATAGTTACTGGTTTATTTAATAGAATGAGTTACCAGTCTAGACACCTTTGTCTAGGAAAACAGCCAGGGAATGTTTGTTCAAGCGAAACAAGATTTCAGAGTTCCTAGGCCTCTACTTTGAGCTACAAGCCTGTTGAAAGTGACTGATCTCTCTCAGATCTGCAATGGAAGAAAGTATATCAAAGTTCTTAGCTCTGAAATTTTATGTAAAGCTTCTGTAGGCTGTATTTGATATGCATTTCATACCTATCATTGCTCACTTTGATTGACAGGTTGTGTTTTCATATAGAAAGTTTACGATTTCAAGCAATGATTTCAAGAAAAAATGAGCTGCAGACTAATGTTACTAGCTTGCTTACTGTTTTAACCAAGGGTGACATCTCTGATGGAATACTTCATGTGTTTCATTTCACTGTTCTGCAATACAATGAAATAACATTTTGTCATGCTTTTCTGATGACATTTCAAAGTAGAGTGTATAGCACATAACATGGAGTTGAAAAAAATTGATCCAAGTTTCACATTTGGTGTTCAGGAAGTCAACGTCTTGGCACACAGCACTCCGTTTAAGGAAGAAATCTGAGAAAAAAGATAAAGACGGCAAAAGGGAAGGCAAGCTAGAAAATGGTTACCGCAAATCCCGAGAAGGACTTGCAAACAAGGTTTCTGTAAAGGTAAGTGTTACAAAGATCTAGTAGTTTCTAAAACAAGTTGTGTTGGGATTTCTTTAAAAGCAGCTTCTGTCAGAATTTCACTTGAAGGAATCAAACAGTGGTTTTAATGGACAGTCTTTGACAAATCTGAAAGCAGGATGTTATAATCTTTGAATCTTCAAGCATGATAAAGCAAAAAGATACTGCAGAAGGAGTCGAGCGGTGCAGAAATGCTGGTGTTCAGATATTTCCTGGATTTTGTGGGTACAGCTAACTTTGACCAATCACTGTACTTGGTTTTCTACCATTCTTGAAGTTATTATAAGGTTATCAGGACATTAATTCTGTAATTTCTCCTTTCCAGCTTCTCAACCCCAATTACATTTATGATGGTAAGTTGTTTTAATTTTTAAAAGTTGCAGTAAATATAATTTGTTTAAAACATTATTTGCCTGATATGAATTATGTCAGGAACTGAGTGCTTTCTATCAAAATATACATAGGCTGTTTTTGGATGAGGTAGAATTTAATATGTCATATTTATACTTTAAGATGCAAGGAACACTTTTTTGTTTAGAAGTCCAAACTAACATAAAACATGAGGACCATATGATGTATTCTGTATGGAGACTGTGTGGCAGTTGGGCCTTGCTGAACTTGCAAAGTAACAAGTGCAGCAGTTGGAGCTGTTTCATTTTTAACCTTGCACCCTAGGGAACATTCAGGTCCTCTCCAGTGCAGAGGCTGATTAGGACAAAGTAGCCCTCTGGGGTCAGAGCTAAACTGGGTTTTTAGATCAATACACAGAAGCAAACTTTCTGAGTTTCACTTGTTCAAAAGGGAAAGGACTACAGTGCCTCAGTGGATAAGGTGTTTCATGTTCCCTTTTGTAAACTTAGCTGGATATAAAGCTAAGCTAGCTGAGTGCATTGTTAAGTACTTTTCACTGTAGAGTTTCCTCAGCTTGCCATAAACAGGGTGTTTGGTTCACCATGGTAGGCTTCAGGGTTATCTGTGGCACAGCAGTAGTGCTGTGTCCAAGTTTATGTGGGGAAAAATCCACTAGCTCTGTAGAGCCCCAGCAAGCAAGTGGCCTAACCACGGATGTGCTCCAAGGGTAGAGGGGTAGATACATCTTGGAAAAGTAAAGTTACCGTATTACTTTGTCTAGTAGAAAAGAGAGAGCACAGGGAATAGAAATCAAATGTATTAACTCCAGTTGACCTAATGCCATTAATTTTCTTCTTCCAGTTCCCCCCGAGTTTATAATTCCATTGAGTGAGGTAACATGTGAGACAGGAGAGACCATCGTGCTTAAGTGTAAAGTCTGTGGTCGCCCCAAGGCTTCAGTTACTTGGAAAGGTCCTGATCATAACACACTGAGCAATGACGGTCATCACAGCATTTCGTACAGGTACAGTAATTTGTGTAGCTTTCCACAGGAACTGCTGAATCTTAGCTTGTATTTGCACACCTGGTGTAGGACAGCTTTTGGCTTTGAGGCATGAAGATAGGGTGACCCTCAGAAATGTTTCACAGGTGAGATTTTTCTAGAAATGTTGTGTAATTTCTGTGTATGACTGAGATACCAAAATGTCCTATTCAACTGATTTTTAAAAACAAAAGAAAATTAATCTGCTATTTCTGATTAGCTCTTGCAGAAGCCATTGTGTTTCTGTCACACAGACCTGCTCCTTGAACCAGAACAGTATGTTGTGACATGCCAGTTCTGTGACAGATCCTGCCAGTCCCTTATTTCTGTTAGTAGCTTTCATATCACACTACAGTATTTTGCAAAGAGAAGCCTCTGGTTCCTACTGATGTGGCAGTGTCACTCATCATTGTCAAAGTATGGAAATTTAACATTTTTGTCTGGTTTTGGCTTTGCTATAATAGAACTTAACAGACTGGTAACTGAAACACACAATTTATAAGAGAAACTGCATTATTTTGGAATGGGAAACTACATATTGAAAAAAAGGTTTTTTGCTGAAAAAACAATCTTTTATTTACAAAAAATATTGTTTAATGAGTAACTTCAGTGTGAAGAAACATCTTATTTGTGAATTATGCTCTTAATTCAGAATGAAGGGCTTTTTTTGTCAAAACTTGACAGCATGTCATACTGTTTCCCTTTTGTGGGTAGACAGAGGCATTGTGACAGCTTTGCTACTGCATCCAGGGCTCTTGTGAGACATGAGTTAGATTTGTTAGGTTTAATTCACTGTATTGATTATTGTTACAGAATTCAATTCAGTAAATCGTGTTGGCTGTGGCTGAGAGATTTTTAGAAATAATTGTGAAATGTTCTGTGACCTGGGAAGGGGGTCATCTTCCTATGCTCCTAAAACTTACATTCTTTTTTGTCGCTGAAATTAAGTTGTGGGATGAAGGCCATGGCAAATAATTTTTGGTTCAGTCAAATGACTTACAGTAACTGAGACGAATCCAAAAGAAAGTAATAAGAACAATAGAAAATCTTGAAAATATGCCTTAGTGTGGAAGAACAACACAATGTTAGCATTGTTCTGAGCCTAGAGGTGAAAAGTGTTGGGAGGACTTGCCAAGTACTCACATTTGTAAGAGACTTTTGCAAATAGAATTATCTGTTCTTCATGTCCATGGCAGATAGTCACCAGAGTACTAGAAATTAATTGCATACAGAAGATTTAAGTAGACAGTTAAAGACAAACCACCAAACAAAAATGGTGGTTGAACAGTGAGAAAGATAAGGAAGAGTTGGCGGAATCTTGCCCTATGGTCTTACATAGCTTATCACTGTCTCTGCCCTGCAGCAGAGAGAAATCCTAAGTCTGTTTTTGTTTCCTCCCATCCTCATTCTCACAGATTCTGAGGTTTCCAAAGCTGTGGTGAAGTGTGCCTTTTTTATTGAAGGGTGAGCCCTCTCTTAAAAAGGGTGGATGCTCTGAAGTGCAAATGTTAGATAGCTGCTATTTGCTGGGATGGAAATGAACCTTTCAGAAAGTACAGTGATGAATGTTTGTCTCGATATGGCTTCTCATAACTTGAAGGAGATAGAGGAAGCAGAAGGAAACAGGGGAAGCACTTGATTTTTCAAACACAATGAGAGCCTGGCACATGCTAGACCGTGTGTCAGTGGGAATGTTGTTCTAAAAACCTGTAGGACATGCCAAGATACTTGATAAGCACAAAGTGCTCAGATTCTGGTAGACACTTGTGATATGGCAGGAACAGGGTTAGTAATGTTTGTCCAGAGAGAGAGTGGAGCTGGAGAATAAGTACAAACAGTATCAATTTAAGTTTGTCTGGTTTTCATAGCTTAAGGTCTGCAAAATTAATGTAGAGTTAATGGCTGATGTTGTGTTTCCCAGTGACTTAGGAGAGGCTTCGCTGAAAATCATTGGCGTCACTGCAGAAGACGATGGTATCTATACGTGTATAGCTGCAAACGATATGGGTTCAGTTTCATCTTCCGCCAGTCTAAGAGTTTTAGGTAGGTCTGTCTCTTTGCTTTTTTAAAAAACCTAATTACTTTCAAAGTGTCTGGTAGCCATAGAACAGTAAAAAGCAAAGCTTGGCTCTTGGGCGTCCCTTTGTTAAAGGAATATCATAACAAACTCTTTCACCTCTGATATATTGCCTGTTCCAGC